AAAGCAGTTGTGGAGGCAGGTCACTTGTTGTCCCTAAACATTATGTTAAATGCTTACTGTATTGAATTAACTCTGTAATTGCCTTGGCTGGTCATTAAGAGGACTTTAATTAAAAAAAAAAAGCTCCTAGTAAACACAACACTAAACTGCCAAATAATGGATGATGAAGAAAGTTACTGAAACCTGAATATTTGTAAGTTTTCATTTTCAGCATTGTAGTTTATATGGAAAAGTAAACTACTTGTTAAATCAAAAGCTTACTTGGAGCACACTGCCATCATTCTTCCTTTCGTAGGAGAGAAAGATATCTTTGTATTTTCTTTGACCCCTCCTCAACTTTGCTGTATGACTTTGAGTTAAGGGTTATTGTTTAAGTAATGTATCTTCTTTGAAATAAACATTTTAGTAATAAAAGGTAAGTTCAAAGAGAGAATTTATCATTTTTGCTTTTCTCCCCACACCAGATTGAAAAAATGGTGCAGTATGGACCACACGAAGGCCAAATATAACTGATACAATGTTAGAGAGACAGTTTAATAAAGGGTGTGAGCAAAATGTTTAACAAATGTAAGCTCATAATAGAGGTGGTGGGGATAGGATAGAAAATCTAAACCTTGGCTTTGTGTATAGATATATCTGAATTGTTTTGAAGATACTTTTATGTTTGTTTTACTGCCGAAGTGTTCATTTTAAGTTGCAAGAAAATAGTTGCAGTCACTAGAGTTCATGTGATTCTAGAGAACAGGAACGTAGCTTAACAGATCAGTAGTATGGAACTGTGTTTCAGCATTGAATTTTTACTATCTTATTGTTGTTTGCATGAAGGCATGTGTGCTGCAATTATGAAATACATTCAAGCATTAATATAGGCTTATGCTAGCATGTTTACATACTATGTATATTAACATAAAACATGATTCTTCTTTTGTGGGAACATTATAACTTTTTTTTATCAAGAATGACAGGTTGATACTGGAATGTAAATTAAACATGTTTCTATAAAATATGGTTTATTGAATGTTATAGCATTTCATAGTTATAAGATAAGCTCACATGATGTGTAATATATGTATGTTAATATAAAATATGGTTTCTTTTTTTTATATAAATATGTAGCTTTTCCAATTAGATACTGATGTAGGTTCATTTCAGAATGATGTTTGTGAAGAACATGGTTTGTTTTTTTATGAAAGTTGTTGCATTTTGTATGTATGAGGCATTTAGGTTCATGTGAAATGTAATTTCTTTACTATATATACACATTTTAAGTGTGATTGCGTTACATACTTTGGTAATAATGCATGTGTTAGTATTTGATTTATGAACCTCTAAAACTGTTCTATGGTAGATGTAAGAAATTTGAAGGATACTTATCTCCTTGAAATGTTAGTATGCTTTGTGTATATATATATGCCAAAATTTTATTATGTTTGTTGCGTATTTCTAACTTAAGCTGCCTGAAGCTGGTGTTGAAGCAATTAAAATGTTTTTTTGTAAAGCTTATGAAACTTGATTCAGAGTTTATGTATTTAAAAAGTGATCTTCACTGTATGTAGTATAAAAGGGATTTTATTTTTCCATATTTTAATTGATTACTTCCAGTTTTAGATGTTTTAAGTTTGTGGTAAGTGCAGGATAAAAGCCAGTGCAGCCTTACTACTAATAATGTAATATTTGTATTATAGTACAAAATCTTTTCACGTGTAATGATAGGATCTGCTTGTACATTTTTAATATCAAAACTGGAAATAATTAAAAGTTATTTGTAGTAGTCAGTACTACATGTTGATGTACTAAAAAAATAACCCACAATTTGTGTTTTTAATGTTTCTTTCTATAAGTTCTACACTTTTGATACTTTTTTATTTTGTGAATAATAAACATAAAGTTGAAACATTTTTAAACTTACTTTTGGCTAATCGTAATAGCAAATTGTGTGTTATTTCATGCATGTTAAACCATATAAAATTATCCCATACTGAAATTTAAACATTTATAACACAACCTATGTTTTGAGTATTTTTATAGGGGAAGTATGTTACTATGTCAGGAAAGTTTAAAGAATGTTGAGATGATGGATTAAGTTTTGGAATTCATTGAAAATGGTTCATGAATAATATTTGTTTTATAAAGTGTTAATTAGAATTATTATAAAAATTATTCCATTGCATTTGATGTTCATTATTTTTTTATACTTCACACTTGTATATGTATGCAAATGTTTTTATGGCACTTTATTAGCTTAACTGTGGTTTTGTGAAGGAAAAATTCAAGTTGTTGAATTCACTAAGTAATTAATGTGCAGTGACACCCTTGTATATATATGGATTACTGAGTTAAAGGTGTGTAATCTACATATTAGTTTTTACCTCTGAATTTTGGGGTGAATGTTTATCCTTTTTTTTAAATGTCAATTAAAATCCATTAATTTAAATTAATTACTTGTCGTCATACAGTCATCATAAATATTTCTAGTAATCCTTTAAGTATTTTCATTTGTTTCTTTTAGTTTGATATTAAGACTGCTATTATCTGAGAGATTAATTGGACATATTCTCAACAAAACTAATTCATTTTAGTCTTATAAGTAGAATTAAAGGATTTAATATAATTTTCCACATACAAACAATCTTTAAAAATTGAAATTAGCAGTTTGGTACAGAAGCTTTAAGATTCTTGCCTTACACTTTTTCAAAAATATTTTACACTATGAATTTTTCTTGACATTTATAATGCTTAACTGATTATTATTATTATTATTATTGATGGGAGGGAGAGGGGGAATTTGTAAAATAGATTGAAAGAGATATAGAACTTATCCAATTTTAATCCTATGGATAGCTGCACCTTTTTTTTGCTCAGAAAATACCTGCTCAGTGATGTTTTGTACACATGTTCACCTGTGTTTAATAGTACTTTTAGTCTTATGTTTACCTCAATTATACTTGTATGTTATTGGCTATGTCTATACACAGAATACAAACTTTTGTGTCCTTTCAGTATATTAGACGACACTCATTTAATGTGATATGCTTTCCAGATTAAAATAGTGTAATGATTTTGGCCATTTATTAATTAGGTAAGGATGTTGAATACAGCTCTGATCAAGTCTTTGAGACTTTTCTTTTTATACTTTAAGATAATGGTTGTTTATTTTTGGAAGTTATTAATTAATATAATATTAATCCTTGTGATATTATTTAACATGGTAAGAAAACTGGCTGAGATGCAACAAACACAGTGGTGATTGGAACACCTTTTACAAGCTGGCAAAACATGATTATTACTACTTACACTTGTCATTAGTATTAGGCCTATGATATTTTTAAATGCTACATTCTGTATCTAGTCCCTAAGGGATTTTCAAAAATTAGAAGAGTGTATAATAATAATAACATTCCAACCACATAAAAATAACAGACTTGTAAGAAAACTATTAAGTACAGGTTAATACAGTTTGCACACACTTAGTTCGAGAGATTAAAATCATGATTTTATACAAATACTAATACATCAAGGCAATCAAGCATGTGTTGAGAAAGAGACAGTAAACTTAACACCATTGGCTACTTCTTGTTCTGTTAATGGTAGAGGAGAATAAGATTATCGTGGATATAAAGTTAGTCATTATTTGATACACAACAATATTCCAGTGGAAAATGAGCCAAAAAATTTATCATTTTGAATTAGTAAAATGCTGATTTGGCACACCTTCATCCTTATTGTATGTTTATTTGTCATTGTACATTATGAAGACTGTATTTCAGTTGCAGCCTATTTATACATAATCCACTGTGGAGTATGTTTTTACATTATTGTTCTATACAGTGTAAAGTACAAAGTAGAAGGAAATGTATAAGTCATACTTTTGTTTTGTTACTTAAAATAGAATAGACTGATACTTGTAAATTTTAATGCTAAATTATTTTATTGGGTTTAAAAATCAGTTAGTACACTTACGTTTGTAATGTATCTCATGGTTGAAGGCTATCATGGCTGAGTGGATGAAGTTAACTGCTTCGTTAGGGTTTACCCCATTATTGTAAAGTTGCAGGTTTGATACATGCCATTGCCTGCCACAATTTCCTTTGAGACACAAAGTCAAGAAAGTAAGGCCCTCCAGTGGTACAGTAGTATGTCTGCAGACTTACAACACTAGAAACCGGGTTTCGATACCCGTGGTGGGCAGAGCACAGATAGCCCATTGTGTAGCTTTGTGCTTAATTACAAAACAAACAAACAAGTAAGAGGTGTAGTGATAGAAAGAACATACACAATGTAGAAAAAGTTAAGTTTATTGTTTATTTAACACTAAAGAATACAGTTACACAAATTATAAATTACAAATGTAACATAATTTAAAAACTAATTTTACACCATATCCAACACTAAAGTATAAAGTTATGCGATAATAAATTAGAAACATAACACAATGTAAAAGAAATACTAAAGTTACATTATATTTAACAGAAGTAGATAGTTGGAATAATCAAAAATAGTAATAATCAGAAACACTAATTTTTATTATTTGCATGAGTCCTGAAACCAATCAGTTTAGCTGAACAAATAGCAAAAATAATCTAAAATAATAATGAGAAATCATAATGGCAATGTTTCAATTATCTGAGTAGTTGGAATAATCTGAAACACTAAATTAGATAGGTTACTTTAGCGACAGTTGATCTGATCATAATTTCAATTACTTGATAATTTTGCAAGGCAATAATGAATGCTTGTAGATAATTGAGTTAATTGTCCAGCTCTAGTTGTGAGAGTGCTTTCATGTATTCTGTGTGATAGACAGCTAAAGTTTTTTTCAGTAATGCATAAATTTATATACATGTTGGTACCAGATAATTAAATTCAAATTTTTTTTCTTATAAATATCTCTTATTCCTTTGTTCATATGGTCATATGGCCACTGTTATATTGCTAAAACACTTAAAAAAGGAGCATTAGTTTATACTGTCCAAGAGTTGCTCTATTTTGTTTCTTTTCAGCAAAGCTCAAAATTGAAAGCTCCCTTTGTATGCCTCCTCCTGATGAAAACTCGGGATACGAGTTGGTATCGCCTAAAGATCCAGCAGTTATGATGCGGGTAAATATCTGTTCATGTACAGTAAACAAACTAAATGTGTGTAAAGTGAAAGTTGCTTCAATTCATATTAACGTGTATAATATATTTCAGTGTGATATTTTCAGGGTGTATACAGTCAGGGGAAAAAATGCCTAAAGTCAGAGAATTTGTCTTTTTTCTTTAGCCAGTAATCACTAAAAGAAATGTATTGGCCATTCCTTAAAAATACAAAATTCCAATAAACTGCTCTCTCTCTCTCTCTCCATGTTTATGTAAATGTAATTGCATGCAATGTTATCTGTATAATATGGAATTGCTCATTTTCACTTACTTTTCTGTAATAATACATGGCTAGAGCTTCAAAGTGAGACTACCTAGTGCTCTTTTGTGAAATGAATTGAAATTTCCAGTATAATTTTTGGTTGTATTGCAGTTATCAGAACTTCTAATAGACTTTTTTATATACAGGTTTTATATGAGGCATAGTGCACAAGACAAGGATATTATATGATATTATTTGTAAGGTGGGACCTTGAGAAACATTTGAAAGCCCTGTCTTGCATTCTGCATGATAGAACTACTAGATGATCAGATTATACAGAGATAACAAAAGAAAAAAGAAACCTGTTGGACTCAAAGAGGATACATAAATGATTGCAAACTGTTTTATAGTAAAATGTTCATCTCAATCGCTGTTTTTGCACCAACTACAACAAATTGAAACTAAAAGGCATGAATCTGAAATGTTATACTTTACTGGCACTATGGCACACCACCAAAAGTTTATCCAAATTTGATATCTGAAAAATTGGTCAATTTATTGATAAAACGTTAAATTTTGTTTTGCATGCCATATTCCAAAATTTTATGTTATTATTAGATGCTTAATTTCTTAAGTATGATGGAATTTAGACATATTTTTCTAAGGTTTCCTTCAGGTTTTTATATAGATTTATTTATCCCAGATTTCTCTATTGTTTAAGTTTTTTAACAAATAAGCAAACACTTCAGAAATAAAAAGAACTTAATTTGGTGAAATATTTTACAGGAAGTGTGAGGAAAAAGTATTCTTGAAATATTATTTTCACTAAGAATATAAATATGAATATCAATTTTTAAAATTGTGAAATTGTTGATCCAAGTATCCTGATTTTTAAAATCAAAAATATAGATAGACATTTGTGAGAGACGTTCATTGCTTGGAATTCACATATGTACTGTTTTACTTTGAATATAAAAAATAGTTGCATAGTTTACTTTTTTTGTGTTTGTCTTTTCTAAGCTTCTCTTACCTTTTTTGTTTTTGAACTCATTACAACAGTTTTGGTTTGTGTCAGTTATCAAAAAATGTTTTCAAAATTTTATTACTCAGAAAAGCTCAGAATAAAGATTTTAGTTTATTTTAATTTAAGCTCATAAAAATAGTTTGGAAATTTAATTTTAAGTTTCTTTAAAAGAAATATAAGCAAAGGTTTATGCAGTGTAATAGCATTTTATTTAATATTTCACAACATCTGTTTTTATTATTGGCTGTACATTCATTTGCTGTAATTGTATTAAAGATATGGCTAGCTACTATGTATAATATATAAGCTCAATAGTTTATTTAAAGTAGTCAGTGCATGTTTATAGAATGTGAATGGTCAGGAAAAACTTAGAAAAGACAGGGAATATATTTTCTAAATTTCTGTATACACCCTGATTCTTCTCTTATCTGAAATGTTACTAACTGACATTACTTTTAATGTTGTATACGATTAACAACTTGTTCTATCACATGTGTCTTCAAATATTAGGAGGAGAAAAAAAATGGAAGTGATTCCAATACAATAAATACATAAACCATTTTCCAATTTATTGTGGTGCAAACTATTGGAAATAATAATGATTCAGTGTATTAAAATTTACTAATTAAAATGGAAGTTATCATAAAAGCAAAATCGTATAGAAATTAAATGTTGTTTTTTTTCCCATTAGATTAGCAATGAATAAACTGGTAGATTTTGTTTTTTAAATAAGACTTTGTAATTTAATACACATAAGTAGGTGCAATACGGACAGACATTCTTTTTCTTTAAGAGCATTAAAACAGATGGTTTCTAGCACAGCATTCTTGCAAAGTTTTACTAATTTAATTAGGAACCCATAAACACTTGTTACTTACCTTCTGATGATAGTTGTAACAACTTGCTAAAATATATGGAACAAATTTAAATTATATCTCATTGAACTCGGCAAACTTCTACAAAATTCATGAGATTGTTTTTAACCTTGTAATATACTCGGGTAAGATGTAATTCAGAAGCAACATTTACATTCCAGGAAGTACTAAAATAATTTCCCATCTACACTCATAACTTACTCCATGATTTGTTTTACATACTATTATATATATACTATAATGTAGTAGTATCTTATAAATTCACATGCAAGTAACCTATATAATTATAATTTAGTACGACATGATAACATCAGTTTTGAGTAAATGTTACATATTAGTTTGGTTTAAACTCTAAGAAAACACAGGAAAAATTAAAGTATGATAAAGTTTAGGAATGTTATTTGTTTTAATGTGTGCCTTAGTTTCCATCATATTAAACTTTAAAGTACTTCATCAATTGGATTGATTTATTATTAAAATCAATCTTTTATAATATCTTAATTCAGCCAAAGCTTGAATGATCTCAAATATATCTAATTTAGAGTGAAAGAAATTGTAACTTTTTAAATGATATTTTAGTGTTTTATGTTATGAGTTTGTTATAATCTTAAAACCTATAAAAAAATTTCAGAAGTCTGTGATGATCAAAGATGGAGAAAAAACATCGAGGAAGAAAGATAAGAAACTTCGAGAAGATGAAAAGTTAGAAAAACGTCGATTGAAGGAAGAGGTATATAATTAATGTTTCTATGATTAAGTAAGATAGATTAGTATTTACGTACCTAAAATTCATAAATGTAGAACAGATTATTTCAGTAGCTTTAACAATTTGTCAGTTGATGTTATTTGGGAAATGTGATAGATTTGATAATCCAGGCATTTAGGATACCATAACTGGTAATGTTTATTTTTGAGGATTCTAAAAAATTATAAATTGTTTGTAAATATTATGCTATGGTATTTGGTTAATTTGATTTCACTTATCAAAAAATTTAACACTTATTTAACAATGCATAATGAGACTTAATTTATTGCTATTATAGAACTCAATGAAAGATCAAGTTTCTTTAAAAAATTTACATAAACCTGCAATAAACTTTCTTAAGCTTTTGCTTTTCTTTGTCACAATTGTTGGTGAATCTAAAACTGATTTGTATAATTCTGTTATTTCTTTAAAGGTGAGCTTATAAGTTTTTTGTAACATTACCTCTATTCACAGACCTTAAATTTCAGATTTATATTTATGCTTTTTTTTGTTTTTTTATCTCAAAAGCACACTACTTTTGTGTTATTACCAAAAATTAACATACAAAAAGCTTAAAAGTACAGAACATTTTGTGCAATCTTTTGGAATTTGACAGAAACGGCTAACAGAGAAAAAGAAAAAGAAGACTGCTCAAGGAAAAGGAGGAAATGCGAACCAGGCAGTACAGGGACTGGAAAGCTTTGCTCAATCAGAGGATAATCATATTCCCCTGTTTGTAGAAAAGTGTATCAAATTTATAGAGGAAGAAGGGCTAGACTCTGAAGGTATTTACAGGGTACCAGGAAACAGAGCTCATGTAGACCAATTGTATCAGAAGTTTGATGAAGGTATGTGTCAAATGAACTGATCACTAGAACAGTTTTCAGAAGTTATGTTCCATTACAAATTTGTATGGTAGGTTCATATGTTTAAATTTTACATGACTGGGGGTCAATCTTTTCTTGTGGGAAGAAAGATAGGGTATTTTTTAATATGTAATTTGAAAAAAGTCCTTTTTATTTGTACATTTGTGAATGTAATGAAAAAAAAAGATTTCTCTTTTGTATTAGCTAGCAGTTTTAGCAAATACTCGTTTATGGTCAAGACAAAACTAAAAAAAAGTTGTACATAAAGCTTGTAATGAATCTGTAGCTATATATTTATTTTAATATGAACGTTGTTTAGATTAAGTTTATATTTAGAAACATACATAGCTTATACTGTTAGAT